CAGAAGTGAGAACATAGGAAAATCTCACTGTACATTGATAAAAGAAGTAATACTGTTATCCCCAGGTTATACACTGGGAGCAGACGACCAAGACACTCGTCCAGCAGATGCATGTCAGAGTCAAGAACCGAATCCTTACCTCTTTAGCTGTGGTTCAACAGGCTCGCTATGGCCAACTGGAGCTGCTACCGTTATCGCTTTTCTTTCTCTTTTGTTGCTCGCAGACCTTACAGTCCTATTCAGACCAGTGTACCTGCACCTCACCTTCTCAGCGCTGGACAAGCATATTTAACAGCAGACCCTCCTTCTCCTCTGCACATATTCCCTTCCAAGCAGGCGGAAAACACGGGGTTAAGCTACACTGTATTTCCATTTGACAACCAAAAACGGCATGCCATCAGATCATGCTCAGGTGGAACCAATTACACAGGGGAAGGGAAGGAGCCAGAGCCCTCATGCAAGAAGCTGTTGGCCTGCAGCTTTGAAAGCCAGCCGCTTTTTTCTGTCCTTTCAGAGTTTCCAGGCCCTGTCTCCACTGCAAAGGCATTGTGCAACCCAGGCGTTTTGCAACCGCCGCCTGACTCGGCCACAGAGCCGGAGCTCTGGGCTTCACCCTGTCCCACCGCGCCTGGAGCAGCTCTGGCCTCCTGCCCACCTGCGCTCCCAAGCCCACGCTGAGGCTACCTTTAGTCCCAGCACACTAAAGCTTGGTTTAAAGTTGCAACTCAAGCTCCGCGGGATGGGCTGAGAAAGCAGAGAGAGGCCATTACGGTGATGCAGTGAATGGGCATGAACTTCCATTGCTTCGGGTGAGTCCATATCCTCAGATTTCTCCAGACCCAAACCCATCACTTACGATGCTGGTCCCGCTCCTGGATCACCATCACTGTGGTAAATCTAGAGTGACTCCTTCAGAGCACTCCAGACTTGCCCAGCAACACCTCCTCAAACCTTGGCTAACACCAGCCAGCACCGTTAAGAGAGAGCTGGAGATGAACCAAGCCTGAACCAAGTCTCAAAGCCTGGGTCTAGGTCGAGTCAAAGACAAGGACAGCACAAAGCAAATCGTCACGTGAACTTCACCTACCCATATTTAAACTCGACGCCGAAATAGTGTTACACCTAATTATGCCACAAAACCAGACAAAAGTACCTCGGGCAAGATCACCACGTTACTCCTCTGGGAAAGACTTTGCCCCATTTTGGCATCAGGAACAGGCAGCGCCTTGGCGGGGACGGGTCGGGGAAGGCTGTGCCCTGCAGGGCGTTGCTGGATTAAGCCCCGGCCCAGATAAACACCTCCAAGTAAGAGGGAGAATTTAAAAATAATAACATTAAAACCTAAACAAACAGTAACTGTTTGAGGGCTTTGCTTTGGAATAAAAGATTAATGGATGTATTGATTGACTCAAGGGGCTGGGACAAAGGCTGACTGCCGTATTTATTTTTTAGCATCTGTCTGTGGACTTACTGTGCTTGTGTCCGAGCAAATATTGCGTTAAGGAAGCTTATGAACTAACACATGAAGCGTGGTTGGGTCATCTCCAGCTCAGCCTGCGGGTTGTCTGAACATGCTGCCCCAAAATACATGAGCAGGAGTTACAACAGCTTAACATTTAGGAGTAGACTGGGCTGAAGATGTGTTCAGATGCCTCTGCAAAGCCGACTCAGCCTTAGAAATACGTGTTGACCCCAATGTGACGCTTGGGGAAAAGACTCCCTGAATATGGACTCTATAAATCTTGCAGCTCAGACCAAGATGGTGTAAGCGAACTGCCCCAGCGCCACGAAAAGCAGCTACTGTGGGATCCCGGGAAGGACCGGACCAGGCAAGGGCTGTGCGGTGGTGCATTTCCCCCCGGCTCTCTCCTGGGCCGCTCTACGATCTCAGGAACTCCCGTTAGGCCTTGGCCTTTGCGTAATGAGTTGGGTGGGCGGTGAAGCATCCCTTGACCGTACCAGGCACTCTTGCATGGCTGAGGTGGGGAGCGGCACTGACCGTCCCAGGAACTCCTGCTGCCTCGCCAAGGCGGGGAACGACAGCGGGGATAATTCATCATCCCCTGACATCCTTATCTGAATCATAGCTCGAGTGGAACAGGACCATTGTTACTAGAATCTTGAGAAATTCTAGTAACCACCGACTCGGACTGTGGCCAGGATGGAAGTTTACGGATGACTAAAGCCAACCATCTTGTGACCCTACGAATATCGGTCCTAAGTGAGGCCCTCTGAGCTCTCCTGGACCACAGTGGGCTGCGACCAGCATCTCCCTCTGAGTGGGATGCCTCTCAGAGCTCGCCAACTCTCGAGTTTGCAATATTTGGAAGACTGTCGCCAAAAGCTGACCTGGGCTGAAACCCTTCACTCCTTGAGGCTCAACCCCTCGCCCGTTGAGAAATGCCGAGACATTTGACGTGAATATTTCACTGAACTCGAGGGGAATTTTTAGCAGGTATACCTTTGTATATTTATATATCTTTGTGTCTCTGTGTGTGAATTGATGGAGGTGCCCAATAGCAAGTATAGTATAAATATTACCATCTCGAATCTATAATTAAGTCACTGTTGTGATTGTAGTAGACTCTACTAACTTACTTTGTAAATGTTAAACTAGTCAATGATTAAGTGTTGCTAAAATCCTGTCATCCACCTTAAAACTGTGAATGAATCTTAAGACTGCTGCTAGACATGTCTAATCCCTTAGACATAAACCGTTGACCAAGTCTGGGACTAGGAGTGGATCCAGCCGCACCTAAGCTCCATCAGGAGTTCAGAAAGCAAGGGGGTCTGCTCTGAACCTCGTGGCTCAACGGGACGGTCTCCCTTACCCTTTTGCATCTTCGGTCTCTGTATAAATCATTCTAGCTCGATTCTAACTCGATTTTCCTTTGTGTCATCCATGTAGTAAGTGATAGAGTGAACCTTGCCATTGAACTTTGTTAAGTCGCATTTTTATAAATTCCTGATGAACCCACTTTTTGCTAATACCCTTGACGGTGATTCTTTAAGCGGCCTTAAACCACTCATTCGCGACAGGCTGCCACGCTGGGACTTACAGCAGGGGATGCTGCGGCAAAGCGAGCGGCGGAGATGGAGGAGGGACGCAGCCTTCCAGCAGAAGACCAGGGGGACGTGCAGGGCTGTACAGCCCCTGCTGACAGACCCACAAATGCTCCTGTTTCTGTGCTGTGCACACCTAATTCTGGAGAATTTAGGAAAAATCTCAGCAGTGCAGCAGCTCGGGCACTGCGGAGTAATTTGGCTGTTGCCTGGGTTTTTCCTTCTGCCAATACTTGGAGACCCCTTTGGGCAAGAGGTGGGTCGCTACTTCTGCTACAAGGTAAGTCTATGTCAAAAAGGCTCAAAGAAACACAAAGGGGTTTTTGAAAAGCATCCTTTCAAGACCTAATGCATCTTGCGGAGCTCCAGCCACTGTCAATGATTAACCTGCTGCACCCATCAGACCTCCCTGCTTCCAGCTCTCGATGCGAGGAACCAGATCCCTTCTGAAGCCAGCTCTTCCCACTGCCTGCCCGGCATGCAAAGCCTCCGAACTGCCAGGCATGCAAAAACCACAAGGAAGAACTCCCCAAAAAATAATCCCTGGAGAGTTTTAACAGACCGACTGCAAATATATTCACGACTCTTCTCACCCTGCCTCCTTGTTAAGCCTTTCCCATGCAGCTTGGTCACCCTGAAACAGCTCTCCTCTGCAGCACAGGGACCCAGCTCTCGGAGAAGCTGAACCTCACACAATCCCACGGCAGCAGGAGCCAGGGCTTCAAAGACAGGGAACGGGATGGGCATGATGTTCGGTGGAGAAGCTGAGACCCTTCTGCTAAATCCCCATACGGCAGAACAGGCAGCTCTGGAGAGGCAGGGACCAGGGTGCTACAGCAATAAACCCAGAGCTGCGTTTCTTGTCATCACTGATTTGAAACACCACCTAAAAAAAGCACTGATTACAGGAGAGGGAAAAACCCAGAAGCCTTAAGTGACCATTTTAAAGCTTTCAGCTATTTAATTGTGGGTTTCCGCACGCTGATAGAGAAGCCAGCGCCCTCGCCGCAAGAAGCCTCTCCTCCCTGAAGCGCTCTCTGCATCCCTTGTTATCTAGGGAGATGCCAAGCATCTTGGAGAGAGACCGCCTGAACGCCCCAAAGCAAAGGAGGACGTCCAACCTTGCAGGTGAGACGGCGGCAGTCACCCAAGGTGACAGCAAGGCAGGCGTGACAGCCCTCCACAGAGGGAGCGGGCGGGCAGAGGAGCTCTTGAACCCCGCTGAGAAGATATTTTGCCCCTCCTCTCTCAAGGATGGCTCGCAGGCATCAACGACTCCCATCAAAGCCTGGCAGGGCCTCCATGGGGGAAGAGCTACCCAACGCTCCTGGAAAACACTGAAGACTGTGCATCTAAACCCCCTGATCACCACTAACTTCACACGACTATGTGCTGCAGATACAAGGGAACATTTTCAGATACGCCCTGAAGATCATGAATCCCAGCCCTGCTTCCAAAAACGATGCCTGCGCTTCGGGGCCCCAATCCCATTTCCTCCCAGTAAGTCCCCAGGTCACTTTTGGACTTGCCTCGAGTCCAGCAGCCCACTTTTGGACACGAAGCATCAGCTCCCTGCTTGCTTTAGGAACTCCTGAAACGTGAACTGCAAATCTACATGGAGCTACGTGAAATAAAAGGGGCTCCCTTCGATAATGCACATTTTTTGCTCGTACAGCTTGGCTGTTTTTCCCTCCTCTCCAGCTGCCAGGTCTTTAAAATCCCATAGGACTAGAGGGGGCGGGGGGGAAAAAAGCCAGGCAGGAAATAAAAAAGCAGGTAGGGGGAAGAAAAAAAAAAAAAGGAGTTTTCTATGGCCCAGATGAACCTAGCCCCTCTGCTAACCACGGCAAAGCAGTATTTTCTAGTGGGACGGGGGGGACCGTGCTGTGAAGAGCGGCTGTGGGTGGCTGTCCCCAGAGCTTCCCGTGGGTACTTACTGGTGCTTGTGCTAGTGCCGATGGTGTTGATGGTTGTGGGGACGGAGGAGGAGGAGTAGAGGGGCAGATGGCCGTTCTCGCACGCCAGGTTTTTGTCCTGCCAGCTGGAAGCGCTGACGCTTATGCCCGAGTCTCGAGAGTTTTGCCATCCGTTGAGTTTGTCGTCGGAGTTTTGTCTTTGGTGATAGTAGTGCGTCTGCCCGTAGTCCACCGAATCTGACCGACCTCTGCTCTGGCTGCCGAAGCCACCCGACGTGCGGTCCTCCAGGTGGTTGAGCCACATGGCCAGGGCGCTCCGGTCCTCTAAGGAGGTGGCAGGGTGTATCAAGGCGTAGGACAGCAGCTGCCTGCTCTCCTCGATGTGTTGGTTGTGTTCGATCGAGTGGGCCAGGATTTTAGGCAAGAGTTTCATGTATTCGACTTTTGCCTCGATGTTTCCGGGCTTCAGTAAAGGCAGGTGGGTTAACAATAGGGAAATCACTTTATCCTTGGATTCCTGTTGCCATTGGTTAATGATTCCTGTTGAAGGAATAGGAAAAAAAAAAACAGAAGAGAATTGAGAAATCGGCAAACAGAGCTAATAAAGAAATAAATAGACCCTGGCAGGGTAAATACGACACACCAAAGGGATGCCTGCAGGCGTGATGCCACTGCGTGAGCATCTCCCAGGCAGGGGGGTCACCGCTTTCCCAAAACCAAGGTCACAGCAAGGTGTGCCGAATTGGACACTGAGAGTTACCGGATGCTCCTGAAAAATCACTAAAAAAGCCAAATTACACCCACCTCTACGGCCACGTAGCTCCACTGCTGTTGTCCTAATGTTAATCAAAGTCACGATTTGGCCCAAATTTTCCGTATTGTTGCAGACGACACAAAATACTACACAAAAGCACTTCGTGGATAAACCTACCCTTTTAAAAGCACTGGCTGGAAAATGGAAAAGGTCAAGATTCAAATGAGGTAACACAGGCCAGAGCCACAGAGGGCAAAGGGAAGAAGCATCCCAGCGGGAGGGCAATAACCAAACCAGGGTGTTGGTCCATCCACCAGCCTGGCGCGGTAAGCTGCCCCAAAGGTATTCAGGGAAGGGCTCAGCTGAAGCAGCCGCAGAGCTGTTGTTCCTCTGTTAGCTCACGGCAGATAGGAGAGGTTTTAGAAGACCAGAAAAAAAGCAAACATAGGGTTTAGCTTTAAAAATATGCAAAAGGAAAAGTCAGGGAACTACAAACCGATCACTTAACTCGAAACTCCTGGAAAACTGATGGAACGAATAATGAAACAACCTATTTGTAAGCACTGAGAAGATAACAAGATGATAAGTGACTGCCGACACCGATTCGTCAAGAACAATTTACTTTCCTCCTGCGACAGAGTAACTGGCCTGTGAATAGCTGGAGACACAGTCAGTGCCGTATATCTTGATATTCATTAGGTGCTGCCGCACATGGCTTCCTCAGCAGCACACCAGAGAAACACGCTCAGGCGAAACTACTCTAATGTGGGCACACAACTCATTAGAAAACCATATGGAGAGAGTCGTTACTGGTGATTCACCGTCAAACTGGGAGGATGGGCTGAGCAAGGAGACTCGTCCCGCCGTGGCACTACCCAGTATGTCATCGGTGATACAGGTGATGTGATAAATGGATTCAACATGCAGGTATTGCGCTAGGAGAAATGAAAACACTCCAGAAAACTGTATTAGAAGTCAAACAACGTTGAGACCTGGAGAAAAGTCAGAAGAAACCAACTGCATTAAGTAGGCGCAAACATCTGCATGCAGGTGGGAACAAATCGCTGTGCAGTACCAGGCGGGGAAGAGCCTGGGGTCAGGAAGCATCACAGGCTGAACATCAGTCAAAATGCCATGTTGCACACAAAAACTGCACCAGCCAGCCTGTCATTTGTCTGAGAGGTGAAGACCGGCGTGGACAAGCTGCTCTCCATGTCTCCTGGGGATTGTAGTAATAGGTTTGAATTGCAGCAAAGGTGAACGGGGTCGGACATGAAGAAACTACCTCCTACAGGTAGGGCTAGTGATGCGCAGGGAGAGATTGCCTACAGACGTTGTGAAATGTCCGTCACCAGGGGTTTTTCTGAACAGCTTATATAAACACCAGCCAAGGACAGCTCAGGATCTACCTAGACCACGCAACTGATGCTTCCCAGCCCCAGGTCAGTCTCTCTTCCAGTGTTCACCAAACCCCTCTACGAAGCCTTCAGACTTTCAGTCCCTATAGCAGGCTGTGCCTAAGGGTGCCACAACTGAGCCATCTGGTGAAAAAGGACTTCTTTCTGTTTGCTTTAAACCCACTGCCCAAACTTCACCAACTGAAACACCCTGAGTTCTCATGTTATTAAAAAAACTCCAAAACTTTACGTTCTCCCTCCCTGTCTGCTGTCTCCCATCCATACTGTAGAGGAAGCTGCTCTAAATCGTTGATTATCCCTATATCCTTCATGTGTTTTTGAGCTAGGGTAACACCAGCGAAATGAAGATCTGAACATCCATCTGTAGCGTCACCCATCAGGTTTGCTCTTGGGAAGACCCACGCTGCCATCCAGCAGCTAATCCAACCCTTCCACCAACCCATGACCCAGAAAAGGGCTATTACAGCAGGGCCTTTTCCCAGGTAGGACCAAATCCTGCACATCGGTTCCTCAACACAACTGCGGTGGTGAAGAGCACTCACCCCTCCAGCTTCGCCTTCCCAGTTTCAAGGCATGCAACCATTTTAATAGGAAGCCACTAGATGGCTTGCTGGAAACGCCGACGGCTCTCGCTGGAACTTTCTGCAGCGGTATTTACTTCTCCGCAGACCCACCCCTCCTCCAGAGCCGCTTCCCAACCCGGCCGACGGCATGCCTGAGCCATCTCGTGCCGCTGTGCCGAGAGGGGCAAGGAACACGGCATGGCACAGCTTTGGTGGAGAAGAAACTGCTTCGTTTGCAGCAGAAGCGAGTTTTGGTACTCGGGGTGCACTCCTGTGCCCGCGGAGATGCCCTGAGGTTGTTTCGGTGCTAAAAAATGGGATTTGGAAAAGCATCGCTCAACCTAAGTGAAGTTGTAAACAATACATGAGCATAGCAGGACGCAAGGTCCACCAGAGCATCTCCGTATTTTCCACATGCAGGTGTAACTGCTACAGGCAAAGCCTCCTGTCGTGCTCCATCTGATTTCTCTGTCCCCTCTCTCGGCCAGCTGTTGGGTTGAAAACCCATCTTCTTTTCTCCCCTCCTCCTGCAGACATGTCACCCATACCCTTATCACCCCCACATTTTATCATTGCTGTTGGGGCGATCGGGCAGCACTTTCAGGCTGGCACAGCCAAACACCAGCCCGGCACCGTCTGCGGGGTGAGGCTGCAAGATTTTGCAGATAAACTGAGAAATCAAAAAAGATCATTAAAAAAAGGCATGCAATGCACTGCTAAAAGAAGTCGGTGACAGTTGTACGTAGGAACTAGGTAGCAAAACACATGCAGAAAAAGCAGAGCCCAGTGCAAACGGGGTGCAGGGGAGGAGGAGGAGGATGGGGGAGGCAGGTGGCTGTGGTCGGACTCCTCTTCCTCGCACGGGGAGGGGGCTGAGTGTGAAGGTCACCACTAGAGAAACACAGGATGGTGCCAGAGCCACTTCTTGGGAAACTTGCCTTGGACCTCCAAAAGATTTGGGGTTTGAAATCACAACCCCAAAAGATGGAGCGTTGATCCGAAAGCCCGTGGCTGGCGAGGGGCCGGGCGCCCTTTCCTACCCCAGCCCAGGCAGGAGCCACTTTCCTTCTCAGCCAGCAGCAAGATGTGCACAATTAAACAAAAATGGAAAATAATTAGATCTGAAAGAGGTTTGGCTCTCTCCGAGATGGGGCAGAAGGTCAGGCTTAATCCTATCTGCCAGAAAATAGAGGGATCTGGAAAGGGCGGTGCGGGAGGAGGAAAGCTGGAGCTGCCTCTGGGCAGGGGGAGAGGGGCCGGGAACCCCCCCGAAGCCCCTCTCCACCCTCTCCCCGACCACATGAGCCCCCGCTTCAGCTCCCTACCTGCTGCCAGGCTCCCGGACATCTGGGATGCCTCACCCTTTATTGCCAGAAAAAGCCCCCCCGGGTCAGCCGCAGTTAGGACGTGTCCTGGTTTTGGGCTTCCACATCCCAGGAAGGGATGCTACCTGCGGTGGTGTATGGGATCGCAGGCACTAATCACATTACAGCCTCATTAGTGCCCCTGGGTGCCGCTTCAAGGATGCCTGATGCTTTCCGTCACAAGGCTTTCGCTGCTCTAAGGGATGGCGAGACTATCGATATTTGCAGCAGGCAAATCCGAGCATCGAGAAAGCCCCAAAGTTAGAAATTCCACCTTGCTGCTTTGAAACTCCCCAAAATCCCTGTCCTGACCTGTGTTGTACTGACATCTCCTTTTGGAGATAAGCTAAAATAATAACTGATAACAAGCAGCCTAAAGAGCCAGCTCCCATCCCAGCCCTGTGACCCCTGTACTGGGAAGGGATGGGAGCTGCCGGCGCCCCTGAAGCAGAAAATCCCAATTTTCATTAGGGGACTCTTTTTCTTGGGTGAGAGGCTGAATGAAGGTGGGACGCGAGACTACCTTCTAACTTAGGATTACCTACCCTATATGATTTTGCGGCCATACAGCACAGCTGATGCATGTGCCGGGTGCCTGCGTATAAATATAGCACCAAATATAGCCGGGTCCTGCTTCCAAGGCTGAAACCTGTGCTGCGCTATGAATAGGTCCGATGCTATCCCCGAAACAGGGGCTTTCTGGCTTGAGAAAGAGGCGTTGTTTGTCAATTCGTTAAGTGCTCATCGGTTTTCTCTGTCACAAATCTGCTTAATCACTTCTGGATCCCTGCAAACTGTTAATTGCCTTCGTGTCCGGTGGCAACGGATCCACCTCTAACGCCACACTGCATGAAGGACCTTCTTGCCTTTACTTTGAACCTGCCTCCTGACAGACGACTGGGTTATTTCAACCGCCAGCGAGGCACATGGAGCTCCTGAAGCTGTTAATGATGTAGCGGGAACAGTGGTAGTTTTCTGAAGGTAAAGCCAGCCTGGATGGACAAAGGCAGGGATACGTACAGTCCCTGTGGACGTTTGCAAAAAACCAACGCAGGCAGCACACTGGTGCCCACATTTGGAAACCCTGAAGTACCTAACTGCCTGGTTCTTTCTTCTGTTTTTGGTTTTTCCAAACAGACTTCTGGCCCCCACCTCGAAAACACCGACCCTGCCCGGAGGGATGGTCAGAGGAGCTGTCAGCACAGGCACACAAACGCGTGTGTCTCACCAGGTGAGATGTCTCCCAGGAACAACAGCAATGCGGGATACCTCTCAAGTGCTTAAAAAGACCCCAAAAAACAACCGCAACTGAGATAAACCTTTTCGTTTTGAAAGCAGAAATTGGGTTATTCTCCTGTTGTCATATACGACTTATCACATTTCACAAGTGAAGAAGACAAATATGTTGACTGGGGTTTTGACGAAGCGGGCGAGATGAATG